GGCGACAGTGGGAAGGAAAAACTCCCTTTTAACAGGAAGAAACCTCCAGCAGAACCAGGCTCAGGGAGGGGCGGGGCCATCTGCTGCGACCGGTTGGGGAGAGAACAAATTCCAGTTTAGCTCACCAAGCAAGTCTTTAGGGGTTAGCTAACTCCCAGGGCTGAACTGCTAGCTTAACTGGCCTTTTTCAAATTGCTTTATTAACTAATATTAAGAACTAACAATCGGCAAATTCATGCAAAATATATTATAACTAGCTGGTTAATCTTCTTGTTTGCTAACATGTCAATACTGAAATCAAGTGTGAGTGGAAATTTTAGTTGGCTAACCCACCACACTGTTTCACCAGCTAACATGAGATGTGATACAAACTTGTGTTTACTGATTTTAGGTAGCAGTAACTGATGCTCAGTCATTCATGTGAGGAGATCCCAGAGACTTCAAGCTGTTCCTGCAGTTTGCTCTCATGTACTAGCTTCAGATAGTTCTGGACTGAAGAAGCCACTTGTGTGAGTAACAAAACACTGAAGATGCAACGTCCATATAAACAGCTTCAGCTTTCTTGGTTTATGAGATTTTGTCTTGGGAAACGAATTGGACTGAGAAAAATAATTTTGTTGCATCAGGTCAAATTTTTAGTTCAAATCATTATCAAGACATACAGAGGACGTCTACAGCCATCTGTACGACACAGTGGAGGCTCTGTCATGGTTTGGAGCTGTGGTGTTGGAGAGCGAGTGGAGAAATTATGAACACAAGAAGTTCCAGCAGATTTGAGCTCATTTGTTCTGTTACTAGTCAGACAACAAAGTAATGTAGGGCTATTAGTGGCAACTAATCAATCCATCAAATGGAAATCTGATGAAGTAATAGAAGTTTATGTTCCGTGCTTCAGTGTGAAAGTTAAACTTGGCGTGCCTGGCAGTCTATGGTTCCTCCCAGGCTGTCGGTAGCAGGCGACTGAAGCAACTCCCACGTCCCTCCCTTGTCGAACGTGATGACGGATCGCATGTTGTCCTCGCTCACAGAGCCGTTGATGAGCGTGGCGATGTAGACGCCCCTCAGCCCCTCCACACGGTGCAAGTCTGCAAACGGCTCATTGGCAAAATACCTGCGCAGCAAATGCAAACATGGTGGCAGGGTCAGAGGTCACATACTGAGGTGATTCTGTAATATTTAATGTCAAGGTAATTATCTATTTCTACAATACAAATTATCTACAATATTTAAAAGGAAGGAAGGAATTATGTTTTTATTCAACGTGATCATATTTTCACTATTTTACTTCAATGCTCTGGTTTGCACTCCCACCCTGTCCACTGAACACTGCTGTCAGTTTGTTTTTCTTAACTGTTTGCACACTTTATCCTACCAGTCCTAACACCTAATCCCAGGACCGCCCTTTGGACCCTTTAAAGATGATTTCAGTCAGAAGCACAGAAAGTAAATTCATCAAGTTTTTCAAACGTAGAACATGAGGCAACTTTCACACACAGCAGAGAGAGGTAAACAGGAAGCATGAAACTCACAGTCTGATGCTTTGTTTCAGAATGAGTCATGAGAAACAGAAGACACAGAGAAGTGTTAACAGCAGACGCTGTTGGATAAACAGAAACAATCAGCTTTGGCAGGCAGCTCAGCCAACACTGGGACTGCCTCTGCAAAACTAACACCAGATCTTCCTCGTGATTATGTGGAAGGCAAACAATGACTACAGCTATCAGTTGAATGCACTATTAGAAAAGGATGTACTGCTTTCAAGTGTTTGCAAAACCTATACTGTTACCAAGCGTTTGTAAAGAGAGCAAGAGGCCTTCCTGTCAGTTGCTGTGGTTTCTATGGGAACAACTCAATTACTGGCAAGGCTGCAGATAGTGCTCGATGTGTCCTGCAGGTACAGACTGCATTCATTTTTATCTGCTGGAACAATTTGGTTCATCATGTGATCGGCTCATTTACTTATCTAAAGGAAAAGGGGAAAAATCACTAAAGCATTAAAAGCAAAGAGCTGAGACGGTCCAGGCGCCTGTAAGGAGGCAGACTGGAGGAAGGTGTTCCAGACACATTCAGCTGTGGGACCCAAACCCCTACAATGGTGAGCAAACCCATTCAGACCAGTACATTAGTACCTTGTAGAGGCCCAGTTACAACTTTGAGTCTACTTACTAG